TATTGGATAACACACTCTTGCTATGTATCAGTCACATTACAGGTTCCCTTACTGAGCCATAATTACAAATTGCTTTATTGAGTTATATTCACATTGTTTGTGAAATGAATATATTAGAATATTAAGAAGTTTAGAACATTAGTAGATCTCCATACCCGTGTGAAAAGACAATCATATGTTACTTAATGTCTTCTAGTACTGAGCATAGGCTCACAGTATTCCATCACATGGATTATTTGCTCACAAGTTACCTGAATTCAATGACTGTAAGCTAATACCCTCAGATTCTATACCTGTTTATAATACATTTTTATTAATGAACAATTCTGCTCTGCAAACGTTTTGGGTTTCTTGATGCCAAAAGCTTTGGTCAAGCCTTTGATGCTGATACACATCTTATCCAACTGTTCCTTGTTGATATGCTTTCCTTCTAGTCTGGGATCAATGATTCCCTTAAACAAGGTTGTAGAAGTTGTCTTCATTTTAGTCTAGCTTACATAGAACCCACCTCCACTTGTGGGGAGTTGTTGAGCCCAGGCAGGTGGTATGGTAGGAAGTGTGAACGTCTGCAATGTACGGTTACTCAGCTTTCTGTACGCGTGGTTAATTTGAATTGTGCAAATTATCGATTGATTTGTTTATATCACGGTACGGACATATCACACTTCATTTCTCGTGGTACATACACGCTGCCGGTTGCTCACGTTTCGCACTTGGGGATACTTATTAAATTTCATTTTTTTAGGTTTCTTCAAATGCTCTCTTCAAATATAAATTTACCCTAGCTGTAGTTGTTTCGGTATTCTTGTACCATTCTTGATAATAGTTATTATATCCGGCATTCAGGGCCTTCTGGAAAGTTCAAGATTGACCGCTATTTCAAGGTTGAGCGTTATACCTGTTTTGGTGTGGAAGTTTCCGGACTCGTGTCTGATCCAGGTTTTCTTAACATTTTTGTTATTATTTAAGATATGTAATACTTACAAAGATATTTTCCTTCTGACCAGAGGCATAACTAACTGTGGCTTACCCACAGTAAACAGCTTTGGCAATGGGGTAGTACTGGTAGTTGTAGGTACAACGGTTGATGGAGCTTCAGTAGTGGTAGTTGTTGATTCTATTCTTCCTATCTGAACTATTGGTAGAGCTTTGAGCTTCTGGAGTCGATTGATTTTGATAATTTTCTTCTTAAGAGGGCGAAGAGTGCTTGAAGAAGTGTCTTGTGGCATCATATATCTAAATGTCGAAGCACTATTCTCATTCTCGTTGGCTGTGACAGTCGGTATTGGCTGTACAGTATTTCTCAAATCTTCACTTCTTCGCTCATGAGCATATACGCTGAGCTTATCCAGCTTCCTCCTTTGTTCTTCTTTCTGTTGCAAAAGTT